ATACACTTTGTGAATTACTACTTATTGCACAGATACCGTTCGTCTATTCTTCACGCATGCACTGATTTCATGCTACATTGCAAAGAGCGAAATGCTGTGAAACGCGAGGAAGCATATATTGACCGCAAAAACGGATGAACGAGCAGCTGCTTAATCGACAAAGGCGATTTTAATAAAAATTTCTTCGGCTTGATTTGACTTGATCGTTCGTTCCAAATGTAAACAACCTTTTTGTTTCAACGTTCTCCAATTCTAACGATTATTTTTTTTTTTTTTCCGTTGAATTTTGTAATCAACGACGGATTAAAATATTTCGAATATTATACACGCCCACAAATGATCCACTATTATCCGATCGTATTGTCATATTTGGAGATGCTACAACGAGTATCGGTGATTCAACGCCCAAAATTCGACGAGCAATGCAACGAAACGTAGAATCTTTTTTTTCGTATCTTCGTTTAAAAACATTAATAATAGAAAAAAAAAAAGAAATTAAAATAAAAGCATTCCAAATATAGAAATCATTATAATTATAAGACGCTGCACTACGTAATATATAAATACTCATTACCCGAGGAGTTCAGTGTCTCGATAATTAATACGCGACCTTGCGGATTCTTGCGGATTAATTCTTTTTTTTTTTCTTTTTTCGCATTCTCAATAATAGAGAGCGAAGAAAATAATAGAGAGCAAGAATCGTGAGAAGGTTTAAACTTGTATCAACAGTGTTTTCACTTCCAAACACTTTTTCTTTCAAGAAAAATATCGATTTGTCGTGGAAAAATCCATCATAACGTTTCTGTTCTTAACGATTAAATTTGCTTAACGCCCCCTTCTTTTCTTTCGATCAAGAATAAACGAGACCGTGGCCGACAGCTCGTCTTGTTTAAATTTCAAAGAACGTTCGTTGACACCATTTTACAGCGAGCATAAGGCTCAGACCGAGCTCCTTCGATTCAAGGAGGAAGAACGTAACATCTGTCGATTTTAAAATTCCCGTCGAGTATATGAAGAGTATATATATATATATATATTCTCGATGTGCGTCACGAAGAGGACAAGGAGATGAAAGATAAAAGGAAACGTTGGAAAATCGAGCACGATGAAATTGTTGGGAAATATAATTAGAAAAAAAAATCGTCGACTGACACGACCGTAGTCCATGATCTTGAGGCGGCATTCTCGAGTCGTGGGAGTCCTTCGCATAATTAACATCGCGAAAGAATGCAACAACGGTGAAAGAGAAGGCTTAGAAAAAGAAGGAAATGAAAGGAGAGAAGGATGGAAATGGTGGCCAAGAGGGGAAGGAGGCGAAGAGGGAACTTTATGGAGAGAAGAAGAAAAAGAAGAAAAAAAAAAAGGAAAAAAATATACGAGCGACATAATTAATGATTTCTCCGTAAAATAATTGGCGTTTTCACTGATCTTGAATCGGTCGTGGATCTTTCTACTACCGTGTTTACTCTCGCTTCGTGTGGCGGTAAACATGTGAAAAATTTTGCTCGTTATCCAATACATAATAATAAATTCTTGAATAATTAGCATTAAAATAAATAAGCAAGTAAGCAAGCTGATTTTGGGAGGGGAATATTAGAAGAAGATATAAAAGTATTAAAGAATTAAATTGGAGGAACGCGTAGATAAATGGTCCGTAAAACTTCAATGAGTAACTATGAATGAAATTAAATGGACTTTCGAGTTTAAAACTTTGCGAATACGTACTTACGTGTTATCAAGAGGATCTTAGCCTCGTATGAACTCAATTATAATGAAAATGTGTCGTATAGCACTTTCTCCCGTCGATCTAATAATCATTAACTTTAATATGTTATTACTACGATATATCTTTTACTATAATCGTTTATTTCTCAGCGAATAAATTTCAGAAATTCAATTTCACGTCTTCAAACTCGTGAAATTTGGTTTATTAAAATTTAATATGTCGAAATATCGTTATATCAATTTACTGTTAAGAGTAATAGTTGAAATAAAAGTTAAAAGTGCGAAAATCAGAAATTTTTCTAATCTTCCGAAGTGTCAAAAATTTTCAATTACGTTTCTCTATTACCGTTAAAATCGTGGCAACGGTATATAATTTATCATGCAAAAAACGCCAAAATTAACATCGCCTAAAAATTAACTTTCAAAGAAACTGAAAAAGGAAACTCATCGAGAACGATGAAACCGCGTTTTAGAACGAACGTTTTCTTAGAACGAAGAGTTACGTAAAACATTGTATCGCGTCCGATATACCGATGAACCACAATACGAGATACTTGATGCGTGTAAAAGCGTTTTCCGCCACTCTGATCCACATTATAAAGAATAAAGGTGGGTACAACGGGTAACGGAATGCCGCAGATACCACCCACGACCGAGATCACTAACATTTCACATATGGCCGTTATCCAAGGGTAATTTTCGCAACGTGGGAATCCACGACCTTTCGGTTCTACATTCGCCTCTATTGATCGCATCTGAATAGCGGGAAAAGATATTTCGCAAAGGGAATTCCACGAGAAGGAAACCGCGAGGATCGAGACAATTAAAGACCGCTTGCTCGAACGAGGTAAGCAATTTAAGTTACTTAAAACTTACGATGATTATATACTATTTTTCTTTTTTATATCTGATTGCATATACCGTTGATCCAGAAGAGTACGATAGCGTGAATGCAAAATTGAACGTAATATATCGATTAATTTAACCATTGGTTTAGAAAATTCACAATTCTTCCGATATTAAGACTTTCTCGTTCAAGAAGAAGACACGGAAATTATTTTACATAAGAAAAAATTAAGTCTTAATGTCACATTTTATTGCTGTGCACTTTCATCGTATCTTCTATGTCGTAACGATCGTTTTAAACGTGATCGATTTAGATTTCACCGTAACTTTATTGAATTATACAAGAAATCATGACACTTTTCTTCTACTATTTTTCCTCAAAGAATTAATGTAAAATTAACTTATAGAAATGTGTAGGCAAGATTTATTTATAAAATGTGAAATAAGGTTATCTTAGATTTGTATTTCTAACAGGATTTCTTTACAAAGTATGTATCATGCTTCGTAAATTTTATAGTCCTTATCATCGTGAAAACATAGCTATATTTAACGTTGATAAGATCGATTCTCGATTTTAGCCATTTCAATCGATCGCGAATACGATTAGAGGTATAGCAAGCACGAGTCTGCGCATAACACTTTCTAGTTGGAACGTTTCAATGCGATACAATTTCACTTGTTCCACACTTGTCTTACTCGTGACTTTGTCAACGAAAAATCACGTTGATTACGTCTCGACGAACAGGAAATGATAATAAAGTTTGAAAAAAGAAAAAAGTACATTTATATGAAACTTGTACTTATAGTTCCGGGTTCACGGCTGTGGGACAATGTTGGTCACGCAATTCACGCGGTTGGATAATACAATAATAATTAACTATAAAAAAAAATGAATGTTCCTCGAAGGGCTCGAGGAAGTCGCGGAAAAAATCGTTAACGTGCCTATGCTTTTGATTACACGTAAACAAGAAACACATAAAGAAATGATAATTACCGCATTTCCTTGGGAATATGACAACTACTTACATACATGTATATCGAATATATAATTGGAAATAGATCGATTTTCACTTCGAACATGATGTTAATAATATTAATTGATAATTGATATTTAATAAACTTTTCATTATGATAATTAATTTATATATCTTGAATTACGTTTATAATAATTTCTTATTTTACTAATAATTTTATAATAAATCATAAAACAAATAGTATAATTCAACAAATTTTTATATAAAAAAATATGCGACTCACCACAAAATGTAAGAAATGTTATTATGAATACTCTTGTCCGAAAGAAATCATCAAGAAAACTGCTATCGAGTAGAAGAATATGGAAACTGAAAAAAATCTGTAACAAAAAATTAATTTAAAATATTAAATGAAAAAATAGAAAAATAATAAAAGATAAAATATTATTAAATATACAATATAATAATAATAAACATTGACAGTTTAATGTGAAATTTAAATTAAAATATTTAATGAAATAAAATTAATTATAATAAAAAGTAAACTATTTTAATTTTAGTATGAATAGAAAAATAATAGAAATTTATTCTAAATATGTTTATTATTAAAAGAATAAAATATTACCAAATGAGAAAATTGGAAATTGGACACAAATCATTGCGATACATAACACATATATATAATGAATCATTATTCCTCTTCGAAATTATTCTGAAAATTTAATGATAATCCTTAAAAATACATATCAAAATTGTAAAACAAATATCTAGAATTAAAATTATATTGAAAGAAAATAATAACCAAATTCAAAGTCTTCAAACATTTATAATACAAACTAGCGGTCAATAGTCAAAAAGTTAATAGAAAAAAAACACAAATACAAATAAATATATAAAATAAAATAAAATAAAATAAAATAAAATAAAATAAAATAAAATAAAATAAAATAAAAGTAAATAATTTTATTATTTAAATAATATAATGTTATGAAATAAATAAAGAATAGGTAATAATAATCTATAAATTTGTTAGTAGCATAGGAATAGAATTATTTACCGAATAATTGAAGTTCATCAAACATCAAACTGGTAACATGTTCTGTTCCAATGAGTTTTAACAGAAGAATGATGTCACGCGCTACATCACTTAGCGCTTTTCTAATTGGCTAAAGCGACATAGTTCTTTACTTATTCGAAGTCGCGCGAAAAATTAAAATCCATGTACATTTATTTGTGCACACATATAATTGTAGTATATTGAAAATTCTTATGACTAGATATTAAATGTTTTAAAATATTAATATCAAATTAATTATATATTAAATATGTGAATACAACTATGCAAAAAAGTATTATATAAATATTTCAAAATAATAAACAAAATAGAACCAACGATAAGAAATAATATTATCATATAAATTTCTAACAAAAATAGGACAAAAAAAAATACTTTAATGCCAGGAATGTACAATAATTGTTTAATGAACTTAATTGTATTACAAGAATTGTAGTTACACATATGTAATTACATCACTACAATTCCATATTGTTGACTTTACATATGAATAAATAAACACTTATATATTGATAAAAATAGTAGTGAATATGAAATATACATAAAAAAGTAACGTAGGGGAGCTATCAATACTATCAATTTTTTTAGACAATGCCTTCAGATTTTATTCCAAAGGCAGTCTAACATTATGACCCATCATTATGAACTCTAAAATAGGTCATTTTTTTTAAAAAGACTATTAGAATCTTTCAACTGCATAGCAAGTAGCCAAGCTGAAATATTTTTTTCTATATAATAAGTACACTCTCCTCCCCGAAGTCTCAATACCAAATGCAGTGTAGATTCTTTTTGGATATTGTAATCTAAAAGTGTTCTTCCATCTTCAAGTTGTTTGCCAGCAAAAATCAATCGTTGCTGATCAGGAGGAATTCCTTCTTTATCTTGAATCTTAGCTTTTACATTCTCTATTGTATCCGAAGCTTCAACTTCAAGTGTAATAGTCTTTCCAGTAAGAGTTTTAACAAAGATCTGCATTCCTCCTCGAAGTCGCAATACCAGATGAAGAGTAGACTCTTTCTGAATATTATAATCTGAGAGAGTTCTTCCATCTTCAAGCTGTTTGCCAGCAAAAATCAAACGTTGTTGGTCAGGCGGAATTCCTTCTTATCTTGAATCTTAGCCTTTACATTCTCTATTGTATCCGAAGCTTCAACTTCAAGTGTAATAGTCTTTCCAGTAAGAGTTTTAACAAAGATCTGCATTCCTCCCCGAAGTCGCAATACCAGATGAAGAGTAGACTCTTTTTGAATATTGTAATCTGAAAGAGTTCTTCCATCTTCAAGCTGTTTGCCAGCAAAAATCAAACGTTGCTGATCAGGTGGAATTCCTTCTTTATCTTGAATCTTAGCTTTTACATTTTCTATTGTGTCTGAAGCTTCAACTTCAAGAGTGATAGTTTTTCCAGTGAGAGTTTTGACAAAGATTTGCATTCCTCCTCGAAGTCTCAACACTAAATGGAGTGTAGATTCTTTTTGGATATTATAATCTGAGAGTTCTTCCATCTTCTAGCTGTTTACCAGCAAAGATCAATCGTTGCTGATCTGGAGGAATTCCTTCTTTATCTTGAATCTTAGCTTTTACATTTTCTATTGTGTCCGAAGCTTCAACTTCTAAAGTAATGGTTTTGCCAGTGAGAGTTTTGACAAAGATTTGCATACCTCCTCGAAGTCTCAATACTAAATGGAGTGTAGATTCCTTTTGGATATTATAATCTGAGAGAGTTCTTCCATCTTCTAATTGTTTACCAGCAAAGATCAAACGTTGCTGGTCAGGGGGAATTCCTTCTTTGTCTTGAATCTTAGCCTTTACATTTTCTATTGTGTCTGAAGCTTCAACTTCAAGTGTGATAGTTTTTCCAGTAAGAGTTTTGACAAAGATTTGCATTCCCCCTCGAAGTCTCAATACTAGATGAAGAGTAGACTCTTTCTGAATATTATAATCTGAGAGTGTTCTACCATCTTCAAGTTGTTTGCCAGCAAAAATCAAACGTTGTTGATCTGGTGGAATTCCTTCTTTATCTTGAATCTTAGCCTTTACATTCTCTATTGTGTCTGAAGCTTCAACTTCTAAGGTGATGGTTTTTCCTGTTAAAGTCTTAACAAAGATCTGCATTTTTATGTAGAAACCTATAAAAAAAAACGATAAAAAAATGTTAATATGCTATGATTTATGTGATAAAAATTGGTTTAGTAAAATATTAATCTGTTTAGTTTTCATTCATCAAAATGGAGGCTCGCAATATTGAAATCACAAAATATTGATTATTTGTAAATCTACTTAATATCTTTACATATAGGAAGTTATAAAAGTATCAACTATACTCACGTAAACTGAATTAATTTACAAAAAGATATTTGGAATGTAATCCAAGTTAAATTCTTTGAAAGACCAAATAGGGATAAAAGTTCGAAAATGATACTGATAAATCCGAGAAAGGGATATGAAATGACGTAAAACTGGTGTTTGTAAAGTAGGCTGTGATCTGTGATATATATTCCGATTGCCAAAATATAGATTTATAATTCTCTAAATGAAAAATTATATGTACAGGCATTTCCTAAAATTAGTTTAATTGATTTTAAATAAATAAATATACTTAACATTATCGAATTTTAATCATAATCAAAAAAATAAAATTCAAATTTCGATATCTTTTATAAATAAGAACATGTTATTAATCGTATACAAATATACTAGTACTTTTTAGATTCTTAATATTGCAAATAGATTCAAAAATATACTCAATATATTTAAATTTAAAAAGTTATAGTTGCGCGCGATAAAATATTTAAAAGAATATAAAATAGTTATAAATAACGAATTATAGAATTATATAATGGATATTTGCAATGTCATGTATGAAAGAAAAGAACAATCGATTTTATATGCTTCATTTCCGCAAATAAGTGATTTATGTTGTATAATTTGTGAAATTGATTTTATTGAAGTTCGTGATTCATCAGCAAAATCAAATTTTCACTGGCAAACAATGAAATGTCGGTAAGAATAAGTATTATATTATTTATTTTATCTTGTGTTAGTTAACTTATAATCGATTTTTATATTAAAATAACATAATTTTAGATTACTTATTCATTTAATTTCTGATATTATTGCTTCACCAGTAATGGGTACAGAAAAATTTATATTCGTTATTGCGAATAAAAAATTTTTTGAAACTGGAAAGTTGTTAAAAATTTTAAAAAATTTTAAATTAGTGGTTTGTTTAAAATTTATTTCTTGAATGATAAATTATTATTATTTTTATTTTATATATTATTTTTATTTTTATTTTTATTTTTACTAGTATCAAGGATTACGATCAGTTACAATAGAATTATATAAAATTTGTCTTATATATACGATACAAACTAAAATAGCCCCTTTGTGGAATAAAGTTGGTGAATATTTAGTTCAAGGAAAAGATTTTTATAACTTTATACAAGGAACCAGAGCATTAAAATTAGATATACTTATAGAAGGTCTGCCAAATTTATTCTTTATTTATATAATCTTATATATTAATATTAAATAAATTTTTAGAAAAGAATATATCTATAAAACTTCATGCAGAAATAATTAAAATTCCATATATAAAACTTGAAGATTATCTTCCGCCATCTGTTATATCTCACTTTCTAGCAGATCCTAAAGGATATATTGACTTATCTCATTATAATCCTCCATTTGTATATGTATTACCAAGGTAATAATAATTGTCTTCATTTACATGTACTTATATTTATTTATTCAGAATGTAGTAAGAAATACAGAATGTATAGAAATACATGTAAAAATAATTTAAAAAAAAAAACATTTTTCTCATTTGAGATTTTGTTCTCAAAAAAATAAAAATTTAAAAATTTATTAAATGTATATACTAATATTTAATTGTTTTTATTCAATTTTGATTATCATGAAAACAAAAATATAAATAAAAAATACGTTTCTACTGTTTATTTAATTATTTAATTATTTTCGTAAATATTTTGAATAATAATAATGTTTTAAGTATTAAACTACTTGAAAATAACCAAATTCTTCTTTTAATAATTTATCAAATTTGATTTTTTCGAAAATAAATTTCAAATGTTATTTTTTTCGATTTATTTTTGTATAAATATCAATAATAATTAATAAAATTATAACATTTTTTATAGTACAAAAAAAGGAAAATTATTATCTGTATCTAAAGAACTTCCAGCAAGATGTGTTTTTAAAGATTATGATCAATTACGTAGACATTGGAAAAATATGGTATAAATATTAAATATATATATTGTTTACAATCAAAATTATTTTTATCATCAATAAATTATCATCAATATTTATATATATATATAATATTTCAGTATGGATATTCTTTGTCTAAAAATAAAAATGAAATTTTATTTTATGAAATTAAATTTTTGATTCCTAAATCTAACATTTTCATATATCCTAATATGTGTATTCTATTGTGTCTGAAGCTTCAACTTCAAGTGTGATAGTTTTTCCAGTAAGAGTTTTGACAAAGATTTGCATTCCCCCTCGAAGTCTCAATACTAGATGAAGAGTAGACTCTTTCTGAATATTATAATCTGAGAGTGTTCTACCATCTTCAAGTTGTTTGCCAGCAAAAATCAAACGTTGTTGATCTGGTGGAATTCCTTCTTTATCTTGAATCTTAGCCTTTACATTCTCTATTGTGTCTGAAGCTTCAACTTCTAAGGTGATGGTTTTTCCTGTTAAAGTCTTAACAAAGATCTGCATTTTTATGTAGAAACCTATAAAAAAAAACGATAAAAAAATGTTAATATGCTATGATTTATGTGATAAAAATTGGTTTAGTAAAATATTAATCTGTTTAGTTTTCATTCATCAAAATGGAGGCTCGCAATATTGAAATCACAAAATATTGATTATTTGTAAATCTACTTAATATCTTTACATATAGGAAGTTATAAAAGTATCAACTATACTCACGTAAACTGAATTAATTTACAAAAAGATATTTGGAATGTAATCCAAGTTAAATTCTTTGAAAGACCAAATAGGGATAAAAGTTCGAAAATGATACTGATAAATCCGAGAAAGGGATATGAAATGACGTAAAACTGGTGTTTGTAAAGTAGGCTGTGATCTGTGATATATATTCCGATTGCCAAAATATAGATTTATAATTCTCTAAATGAAAAATTATATGTACAGGCATTTCCTAAAATTAGTTTAATTGATTTTAAATAAATAAATATACTTAACATTATCGAATTTTAATCATAATCAAAAAAATAAAATTCAAATTTCGATATCTTTTATAAATAAGAACATGTTATTAATCGTATACAAATATACTAGTACTTTTTAGATTCTTAATATTGCAAATAGATTCAAAAATATACTCAATATATTTAAATTTAAAAAGTTATAGTTGCGCGCGATAAAATATTTAAAAGAATATAAAATAGTTATAAATAACGAATTATAGAATTATATAATGGATATTTGCAATGTCATGTATGAAAGAAAAGAACAATCGATTTTATATGCTTCATTTCCGCAAATAAGTGATTTATGTTGTATAATTTGTGAAATTGATTTTATTGAAGTTCGTGATTCATCAGCAAAATCAAATTTTCACTGGCAAACAATGAAATGTCGGTAAGAATAAGTATTATATTATTTATTTTATCTTGTGTTAGTTAACTTATAATCGATTTTTATATTAAAATAACATAATTTTAGATTACTTATTCATTTAATTTCTGATATTATTGCTTCACCAGTAATGGGTACAGAAAAATTTATATTCGTTATTGCGAATAAAAAATTTTTTGAAACTGGAAAGTTGTTAAAAATTTTAAAAAATTTTAAATTAGTGGTTTGTTTAAAATTTATTTCTTGAATGATAAATTATTATTATTTTTATTTTATATATTATTTTTATTTTTATTTTTATTTTTACTAGTATCAAGGATTACGATCAGTTACAATAGAATTATATAAAATTTGTCTTATATATACGATACAAACTAAAATAGCCCCTTTGTGGAATAAAGTTGGTGAATATTTAGTTCAAGGAAAAGATTTTTATAACTTTATACAAGGAACCAGAGCATTAAAATTAGATATACTTATAGAAGGTCTGCCAAATTTATTCTTTATTTATATAATCTTATATATTAATATTAAATAAATTTTTAGAAAAGAATATATCTATAAAACTTCATGCAGAAATAATTAAAATTCCATATATAAAACTTGAAGATTATCTTCCGCCATCTGTTATATCTCACTTTCTAGCAGATCCTAAAGGATATATTGACTTATCTCATTATAATCCTCCATTTGTATATGTATTACCAAGGTAATAATAATTGTCTTCATTTACATGTACTTATATTTATTTATTCAGAATGTAGTAAGAAATACAGAATGTATAGAAATACATGTAAAAATAATTTAAAAAAAAAAACATTTTTCTCATTTGAGATTTTGTTCTCAAAAAAATAAAAAATTTAAAAATTTATTAAATGTATATACTAATATTTAATTGTTTTTATTCAATTTTGATTATCATGAAAACAAAAATATAAATAAAAAATACGTTTCTACTGTTTATTTAATTATTTAATTATTTTCGTAAATATTTTGAATAATAATAATGTTTTAAGTATTAAACTACTTGAAAATAACCAAATTCTTCTTTTAATAATTTATCAAATTTGATTTTTTCGAAAATAAATTTCAAATGTTATTTTTTTCGATTTATTTTTGTATAAATATCAATAATAATTAATAAAATTATAACATTTTTTATAGTACAAAAAAAGGAAAATTATTATCTGTATCTAAAGAACTTCCAGCAAGATGTGTTTTTAAAGATTATGATCAATTACGTAGACATTGGAAAAATATGGTATAAATATTAAATATATATATTGTTTACAATCAAAATTATTTTTATCATCAATAAATTATCATCAATATTTATATATATATATAATATTTCAGTATGGATATTCTTTGTCTAAAAATAAAAATGAAATTTTATTTTATGAAATTAAATTTTTGATTCCTAAATCTAACATTTTCATATATCCTAATATGTGTATAGCAAGTAGACCATTAGAAATTATTCCAAATAATGATAAAAAATCTACAATTACATATTTTTTAGCTGATATGCTTATGAAATTACCTACAATTTGTGGTAAACAATTACAAATATCTGAATATACTCCATTTATTCCAGTAAGTTATAAACTATTAAATAATAACATTAAGTAATATAAACAATAAAAAAATATATTTATTATATTATTATTATTATTATTATTATATCTTATTTTATATAGAAATCTTTAAATATAAATTTATCATCTAATGTATTATTAAAAGATAAAGAATTGAGTACATATCTTAAAGAAAAAGAAAACATTACTTCACAATTTGAATTTTCTAATAAATATGCAGATAGATTAACAAAAAATACAAATGTTGCAACATCTTTAACAACACAATTAACTAAAATCCATCAACTTCATAATGTACAATTTCATGAAAATATAAAAATTGATTCAATTAACAAAAATGCAAAAGAAAATGAAAATGGTACATACTAAAATAATGAAATATTTTTATAAATATTTTAAAACTTGTATAATAATTATAAAATAATTTTTAAACTTTAGAAAGCCGATGTTTAAATAGTACACAAAATATAAAAGATAATTATATTAAGAATAATGTTCTAAGAAATTCAAATGATTATTTTATTGTATCAAAGGAGAATACAATTTCAAGATATTTTAAAATTCAAAAAACAAATTCTTGTAATGATATGGAAAAGGTATTTTCTTTTATAATTTCTTTATAAATTATATAATATTATATTTTATCATTTATTCTTTTTTTATTTATAATTATTTTTTTATTTATTTAAATATTTAGTTAATACAAGAAGAAAAACAAAAACAGTTAACATTAAAAGAAAAATTATCAAAAGCTAAATCTAATAAAGATAATATTACATTTTTATTAAAAACAGTAGGTATATTATATTTTAAATTACATATATTTTTAATAAAAAATTAACAAAATTAAAAATTAAATATATAATTATTTCATAATTTATTATATAGGATCAAAATATTACAATAGAAGAAATGGCAAAAAAAAATCAGTTAGATCAGATGAAGAACAGTGATTTAAGTGATTGGTTAAAAAAACATTCAATTCCACATAATATTCATGGAAAAAAAACTGAACTTATTAATAAAATATTATCTCATATAAAAAACACACAAATATTGCAACAAAATCGTATTTAAATACTATTTTTATAAGTAAAAATTATAAATATCATATAAAAAATATTTTTTTTATGTTACATTGTTAAAAAAGATAATAATATTCTATAATTTATATGTATTATATTGAATATTAAAAATAATAACAATTATAATATTTAATATTTTTTAGATATTAAATATTAAAAAAAATGAACAATAACAAGTAACAAGATAAAATTAAAAAGAATTGATAACAATAAATATTTTTTTATACCATTGATTTTTTATAGTCTGCTATAACATTTAATATAGTTTTTCTATCAACTTCATTTTCTATACCAATTTCAATTAAGTCTTCATTAGTTAAAGTCACAAACAAATCAACATCAATCTAAAAAATAATATATAAATAATATAAAGATAAAAAATTAAAATAGCAATTATAATAAAAATTTATTTAAATAATATAGTTCGTAAAACGAATATGTTAATTAATTAGGTTATTATTAATTTTATTATTTTATATATATATAAAATTATATTAATATTTAAATCAAATATAATATATTATAATTTATATTACAATATAATATTATTATGATATATTTACTTCTTGCTGAAGAAATATAGACACATGTTGATTTAATCCATAATGTTTCAATAAAACAAACATTTTTGCTTCTTCTGAATTTAAAATCATTCCTCTTGGAGGTGTTTTGTAACGTGGTGGTGTTGGTGTATCTTCTCCAAATACATTCTCATCATTTATACTTGAAGGTACATTTGGTGAACGTAATGGGCTAAATTCAGGTACATATCCAAGAGTGGTATTAAGATCTTCTTCTTCATTTTGAATATCTAAATCTGGTGGCCGAATAGACTGTAATCTTTATAGTACAATTACATGTAATATATAATAATAAATGAATACTATCAATATACTGTGTAATATAAATATACCTCTGTAAAGATAGTTCGTTTATAGTTTTGTTTTTTAAACAAGTTGATACTATTTCATTTTTGTTTGAAATTATTTGATTATCTACTGTATTATGCATTGTATTAATTTTGATTTCATCAATATATTTATTTTGTGTAAAATATATGTTTGGAGAAGTAGGTAATATTTCATTGAAAGTACAAGTCAAAGTTGGTGAAATTAAAGCACACTGGTCAGTTTCTAAGTGATTTGTTAAATTTAATGGAGGAAGTTTTAAAAGATTTTGTAAATTTTTGTCAATATTCTTGATACAATAATTAGTGTTAGATGCTGCAATATCTGTTTCATCTTCTATAAAAATATTATCTGAATTATTGTTCCAATATTCTTCTATATCAAGATCTTTTGCAAAATTTTTTATTTCAGGTATTGTTGACTGTTTCATCATAATATAAGTATATTCATCTATTAAACAATTTATAATAAATGTGAATAAACATGAATAAACATTATTGTTTGTTTATATTGGTATTTTTATCTTATTATATAAATTTTTATATATTATTATTTATAAAAATATAATATCTTACTACTTTTGGAAACATCAAAACCTAACTCTATTAATTTAAAAAATAAGTTTTTATCATTTTTCATAGCTGCAATACATAGGGGTGTTATATCATCATTTAGAGTATTTAATAATGCTGATGGACATGCTTCATATACAATGTCAAACATATCTTTATTTATTGCAGCTGCTAATCCAAATACAGACATTCCTAAAAATCAATAAAAATAAAAAAATTTAATGATATTTTTTAATGATTATATTTTTTAATGATTATAATTACAGTAATAACTTTTTACAAAA